AAGGCCTTTTCCAACCTAAACGATTTTATGATTCTATGAAAGCAGATATGCCCACAAATATGCACATACAAATGTATTTTGATACTGAGCAAATCAGTGTTGTACTTTCACATCATTTTTTTGTAGTGAGAGTGGAATTGGGAATACATGGTGATTTGAATTTGTTGTCTCCTGTAAACAAAAGAACACTGAAAACCGCTATTTATTGTTTGCAGGCATTTTTGGAAATGGAGTCTGAAGAAGCTGCTGTTACTATGGTGAACTACTGCACTTGTGCTACACCTTACCTCCGTGGTCACCCTGTTTACATTCAGTATTCCAATCACAGAGAGCTTAAGACTGATGATGTACCTAATCAGGCTGTAAGTATACTATTTCCACTTAACATGATAGTTTTACATGAGCTGTGTACTGTTTTTGGTTGGGATAGAGTTACTTTTCTTCATAGTAGCCTGTGACGCTTACATAGCGTCAAGGCCTTTTCTGCTTCTTATGCTGCCCTGCGAGTGTGAGTGCACAAGAAGCTGGGAGGGGACACCGTTGGGACAGCTGACCCCAACTGGATATCCCACACCATGTGATGTTGTGCTCAGCAGTGAAAGCTGGGGGAAGAAGGAGGCAGGTGGGACATCGAGAGTTATGTCATTTTTCTTCCCAAGTAACTGTTACATGTGATGGAGCCCTGCTTTCCTGGAGATAGCTGAACACCTGCCTGCTGATGGGAATGCCTTATTTTGCTTTGCTTGCATGTGCAGCTTTTGCATTACCTATTAAACTGTCTTTACCTCAGCCCATGAGTTTTCTCACTTTTAACCCTTTTGATTCTCTCCCCCATCCTGCTGGGGGGAAGTGACCAAGCAGCTGTGTGGCACTTAGCTGCCTACCAGGATTAAACCACACCATTGGTAAATAAACAGACTCAGACTACTTTCCACTGCACCAATAGTCAAATTCTGATGGATGTGATTTCTGTCAATTGTTATCTAAGCAGCAACTTTTCAGACAGGGACTTCTTAATATCTGTAAAATTACAGTGGAGGAGCTCAAGAACAGTTAATCCTGATGAGCATGAAATCAAGTGAATGTGGCAGGAGAACTGCTTGGATGAACAAGGAGCTCCTGACTGAACTCAGATATAAAAAAGAGGCATAGAAAAGGTAGAATCACTGACAGGTGACCCAGGAGGAATATAGAGCCTTATCTGAACATGCAGGATGTGGTTAGGAAAGTCAAAGCCCGTATGGAGTTTGCTCTGGCAGGGGATGTGAACAGCAATAAGAATGGGTCCTCAAAGTGTATCAGCAGCAGAAAGAAGACTTAGGGAACATGTGGGCCTGCTGCTGAATGGAGCAGGGGCCCTGTTGACAAAGGATATGGAAGAGGCTGAAGTACTGGATTGGATGCCTTCTCAGTCTTTAGAGGTGACGACTTGCCCTTGGTAATACCAAGCAACTGAGAAGAGTAGGAATGTCTTGATGAAGGAAATAGAGAAGAATCTTGTTAGGGAACACTTAAACAAACTGGATAAACAAAAGTCTGTGGCCATAATGAGGTGCACTTGTGAGTGCTGAGGGAGATGGCTATTGATGATGGTCATATCCAATGATCATCTTTAAGCTGTTCAAGTTTATTTTTAATAGCGTTATCTTTTTAAATGTTGACAGTTTATTCTAAGAAGAACCCTAGATCCAGTAAAATGGATATTTTCATTGACAAAACGTCAGTTTTATGTGTAACTTCATGCCAAACACCAGAATTAATTTCTTCCTTGTATTTTTGAAGTACTAAAAATTGATTTCTTAAGAAGAACATGAATTGAACATTGCAGATGAATGATTTAAATCCTAATCTCTAAACAAGGAAGCACTCTTTGCACAACAAGATCAAACCATCATATTGCAGCTGAAATCCATTTGGATTTTTGGATTCCTGGATGAATTGCAATTGACCTCCCATTTAGATATACACATCACAGTATATAACTTATGTATCATGATTTTGTTTTCTGTGAGAATGTTGCAAATAGTGACTGGGGCGAAAAGGCAGTTTGAGGAGTGAGATTTAAAGATGGTTTTTGTGGTTGATAGCTTGGCTCAGAAAAAAGAGCAGAGTATGTACCTTTTAAGCTCATCCCCAACAAAACTTAGTTCCTGAAGAGAATGAAATCCTAATGAAGCAGAGCAAACAGTTTTTGGTGCACTGACTGGTTGTTAGTCTATTACAATATTGTCATTGTACTGATTTGCTGGAAAACCTGTAGAATGACAAAAGCTTACTGAATCAAAGCAAAATTGTGTTTATATGGCATTACAAAGAAGTAACAGTTTAACTGAAAGAAAGTTATAATTCTGTGAAAGTATAATCGGACTCTGAGGGGAGGAGAAAGGGAAGCAAGAGGTATGGTTTACCTATTAATGTAGGATTTAAATTGATAATCTGATAAAAGGAGTATGTTTTTTTAAAAGCTGCATTTTAAATGCATTTTACATGCTTTTCTTTGTAAGAGAACTTTGTTTAGATTTGAATAATTTCTATGTGTGTAAGTTAATTGTGGTCTCTGCTGTGTCATGATTTCAGAGAGCCCAAGCTGCATTGCAAGCCATGGATGCCATGCAGTCTGCAAGCGTGCCTGTTGCAGGTGTTCTTGGTGCTGAAGGTGGGCTCCTTCCAACTCAAGGTTCTGTTCTTCGAATCATTGTTGAAAATCTTTTCTACCCTATCACTTTAGACACGCTGCATCAGGTAATGAGGATTGAAAAAAAAAAAAAATTTAAGATCTGTTCCAATGTTGGAATTAATTTTTTTTTTTTTAAAAAGTACCTGTATATCCTTAATTGTTTGAAAGAGGACTGTCACTTTAAAATGATTTGTTGCAATTTAGGGATCTAGACTTGAATCAGCTTTGCACAAAAAAATCCAAGTAAATGGGTTTCTGTTCTCAGCTTTTCATGTTGTCTTTCATTACTTGTAGTTCCTAGGTTTCTGTGGAAGCAGCAACAAAGTTGAGGTGTTACTTCTAATTTATGCCCACATGATGAGCTAGTGAAATAGTGATTGTTGTGAATTTGTGGACTGGTATTTTAGTACACAGAGTGCTAAGTAACTCTTGTAGTTTACATTATATTTTAGGGCTTTATAGTCACTTTCACAATTCAGTGCAAGTGATGTAATATTTGTCCAAGCAACTATACTTGTATGTTTTTAACTATTCATCAACTGTTAGAATGCCATTTAATTTAACTACCTCTGAAAGGTTGGAATAGTGGTGGGCTATAGCTATGAAAAACATTACCATAACTCCTGCTAGGTGGTTGTGCTATGCAGTTGAGAGCTAGAGGTTTAAAAACAAAATAGCTTTACAAGACTATTTCTTCATACCTGAAGGATTTGTTGATAGCTTTTTCAGATATTGCAAAGGGTTTCATACCTGAAGCCTTTGTAATTACTAGTAAACTTGTGCAGTAAAAAACATGCCCCAAATATGAGTTTCTTAAATTAATGCAAATTAAAATAATTGGGATGTTTTTATAAGAACCTGCAATCCTGGAAGAAGATTTTTGCTGCTCTACTAGCATCTCAAACAATAGTTGATTGTTACCAACACTTTATTTTTCCTCTTACCTCTTCGTATTTCCTCTTTATCTCCCCTGCCATGATACTGATTAACTAATATACTAGTTGTCACTTTGATGTCGCAATTTGACTCATCTAAGCTTTTGTTTGTGTCTGAGAATTGTTCACTCACTATTGAGCTTGTGCAAATGCTGTGTCAACTGTTTAAGATTATTAATTACTACTATCCAAAGCAGCGTGGCCAGCAGGCAGAGGAAGGGGATTCTGCCCCTCTACTCTGCTCTGGTGAGGCCTCACCTGCAGTGTTGTGTCCAGCTCTGGAGCCCTGAGCACAGGAAAGACATGGACCTGTTGGAGCGGGTCCAGAGGAGACCACAAAGACAATCAGAGGGCTGGAACAGCTCTGCTGCAAGGACAGGCTGAGAGAGTTGGGGTTGTTCAGCCTGGAGAAGAGAAGGCTCCAGGGATACCTTATTGCAGCCTGCCAGTACTTATAGAGGGCTTCTAAGAAAGTTTAGGACAGACTTTTTAGCAGGGCCTGTAGAGATAGGACAAGGAGTAACAGTTTTAACTAAAAGCAGGTAGATTTAGACTAGACATAAGGCAGAAACATTTTACAACGAGGGTGGTGAAAACAGTGGCACAGGTTGCCCAGAGAGGTGGTGGATGCCCCACCCCTGGAAGCATTCAAGGTCAGGTTGGATGGGGCTCTGAGCAACCTGATCTGGTTGAAGATGTCCCTGCTTATTGCAGGGGGGTTGGACTAGACGGCCTTTAAGGTCCCTTCTATCCCAAATGATTATTTGATTCTAGTGTATGATTAGTGCATTCTGAATAACCTGAGAACAAACTTGTGTGGTTACGAGAGCTGTGCTAGTTTAATAGTGCAACAGCAATTCCTGGATCTAACCTTGTGTGGGTTTTCTGGTTTTTACTAAGCAAGCAGTGGAAGAGGAGATTCATGTTAATTTACTTTAATTTGATTAGTATTCACTTCAGTGCAGCAGAACTGTATTTTCAGTCTTTGAATTGTCCAATGACCCTCTCTCAACTACTTTTGCAGTAGGTCTAGAAAATTAAGCAATACTTAAAAAGGAACCTTATTTGGAGTTCTTAACAGGGGGCAAACTCTTCTAATTCAAGCAGTACTTTGTGTCTGATGGCTATAATGTAACACTACTTTAAGCGTGGTAAGGTTAATGGAAATGAAAATTTTCACTGATAGTACAGCATCATATGGAACACTAGGAGGCAAGCTGTCATGCAAAACTTCAATTGTATTTTCAAAGTTATGACTGCTTGTCAAGAAAATAACACTTTTTTTACCACGATTCACCTTAAAATATTTATTGTAAGAAACAGAATAGTCAGTGTTATCTTTGCAGAAACAAAATTGATACATACAGTGGGTTTTAGGTTTAAAACCAAACAAGAATACTTTGAACTTCATTATCATAAAAAGGTCTATTCAGTCTTGTGGATGAACATGGAAAAGCATATGTTCAGAAGCTGTAGTTAAGTAGTTAGGCCTTTCTTAAGGGGAAGTGCTTTATGAACAGGAACTCAATGTCTAATTTTAAATCGTTGTGAAAAAGGTTTCTCTTCTGTCTTCTACCACAAGACAATGACTGCAGCATCGCTGTTTCTGAGATTGAAAAACTGGGCAAAAAGAGTTGTGACAGTGTGTCTTGTATCCATGACCCTAGGCCTAACAGGCTGGCAAGAGATGCTTGTCCTTATCTCTGGCCTTTCTTCCCATTGCAGGCTTAATACTTGTCTTTCCTGACTTTGCATTGATCCTCACAGTTTGCTTGAAAATTATTAGGACTTCCCAAACTCACTTTTCCTCTTCCACAGTTAACTTGGACATAGTTTTTCTGCACTTGCATGATATGTCCTAGCTATACTTTTGTCCTCCTTTGTGGCTTTGCTTTTGTACAAACGCTTTCATGTAGTGCACACTCTTGTTTTGAGTATATATATTTTTCATTTCAACCTTTTAAAATTTTCCTGCAATGTTTGCATTTGCAGTATAGTAAATACCATTTAATTGTAAAATAGAGGGGTAGGTCCCAAACTAGTTCTTCGTCTTGCTTCTTTCCTTCTTTGTCTTCTAGTTTGGACAGTGGGTCTGCGTAACTAATTTGTAGGCATATCAACTATTTAAGGTGTATTTTTGGTCACTAAATTTGCAGAATTTGTTTGAAGTATAGAATGTAAATGTGGATACCTCGAAGGCAGTTTGCAGTTTGCATCTCAACTGACTTGTGAAAGTCCGCTTCTCAGACCTTAACTTTGATTATCCACAATTTTTCTGCAGCCGTTGGACAAATGCCTGTTTGGGCTGGCCTTCCCTGCTCTTAGTTGAACAGTCATTGCTAAATCTTTAAGGAAATCTTATCCTTTTTCCCCATCTTTGCAGCCTCTTTCCAAACCTTTTTTTTTACCCGAAACAAAATTTGGAGTTCACTCAATTTCTGTTCAGCTCTCACAGAAGAAATAATTTTCAGAAATTTATATGAATTGTTAAATGCTAGTTTTTAGTGTGTATGAATTACTCATTGTTTCTGAAAGTCTATGTTTTTTCCTTCTCAGATTTTCTCCAAATATGGATCTGTCTTGAAGATTGTCACCTTCACTAAGAACAATCAATTCCAAGCCTTGCTCCAGTATGCTGATCCAATAAATGCACATCATGCCAAAGTGGTAAGTGTAATGTATTCATCTGGATGTTTTTGTTTTTTTGGGTTTTTTCCCCCCAGGTGAATGTGGAACACTAGGGATAGCTTGATCATTAACTTTCATGACTTCTCATCATTCTAACACTCTTTTTGTACATGAATAACTTTGACATCCATAATTAGTTGAGAGGATAGCACTCTATCACCAACTGCAAACATAAATGTATGGACAAACCCCAAGACCTACATGAGTTTACCAAAACAAAAATCAGAGCTGTGGGTAGTGATGAGTAGTAACTGTAGTCGACCAAAAGTCTTTTGCCTTTCAAACTAAATGGAGTATTTTCAGTGAGGTTCAATACTAAGAGTAGTGTAGTTAAATGCTTGGAGATTAGATGAATGTTATGTGTTTTACCCATTTGAATTCCAGTGAGAAATTTACAGTAATCAATGTTTTCACCTTCAACTTCTCAATTTCAAATGAGCTGTACCCTGACTTTTAAAGGGTCATTCGCAGTAATGAAGAAGAGTTCACCTACTTTAGATATATTTTCTGTGGTGGGTTAACCTTGGCTGGCTGCCAGACACCCACCAGGCTGCTCTCTCCCCTTCCTCAATAGGGCAGGGGGAGAAAATAAGGTGAAAAAGCTCATGGGTCAAGATAAGGACAGGGAGATTGCTCACCAATTAATATTACAGGCATAACAGACTCAAGGAAGATTGATTTAATTTGCTGATTTTGCCAATTAAAAATAGAGTAGGATAGCAAGGGGCAAAAAAGTAACGACACCTTCCCCACAGCCTTATTCCTTCTCAGGCTCAACTTCACTCCCAGCCGTTCTACCTCCTCCCCCTGAGCAGACCAGAGGGACAGGGAATGGGGGTTGCAGTCAGTTCATAACACTCCCTCTGCTGCTCCTTGCTCCTCATACTGTTTCCCTGCTCCAGTGTGGGCCCTTCCCATGGGATACAGTCCTGCACAAACTGCTCCAACATGGGCCCTTCCCACAGTCTTCAGGTGGATATCTGCTCCACTGTGGACCTCCATAGGCTGCAAGAGAACAGTGTGTCTCACCATGATATTCTCCAGGAAAATCTCTGCTCTGTTGCCTGGACCAGCTCCTGCTCCTCCTCCTTCTCTGACCTTGGTGTCTGCAGTGTTGTTTTCCTTTCATTTTTCTCACTTCTCTCTCCCTCTCAGGTGTTACACAATGTTTTTTACCCTTTCTCAAACACTGAGGTGTCACCAGTGTCCCAAGAGGCTCTGCTTTGGGCAGCAGTGGATCTGGTTTGGAGCCGGCTGGAACTTACTTTATCCAGCACGGGGCAGCCCCTGGTCTCTTCCCAGAGAGGAGTAGCATCCCCCATACTACCAAAACCTTCCCATATAAACCCAATACAATTTTTTTTCAAAACAAGTTTTAGAATTTGTTTCCTTATAATAGCTAAATATTTTAATTTCTAGAAAATACTGTTAATTTCCTCAGTGGGAAGTAGTTTGATAATTAAATATTGAGACCTGAGACCTCAAAGATTTTTGCAGAAGGGACAGTAGTGTTACAAATCATCACGTTATAATACTTGTACTGTGAAGTAAAAAATAAAGATGGAATATAAAATACTTTGCTTACTTGAAAGTAAGCCTGAGAACTTTTGTGTTTGTCTTTTAATCTATGTGGTCACCTCAATATTAGTAAATAAATAAAACAAATTTGAAAGTTCCCATAGAAGGTTTATAGGAGAATAGATTAGAATAGATTCGGCTAAGTATTAAGTGGTATTTAGCATTCAGTTTTTGGGAAAAAAAAAAAATTAACAAAAGACTAGAGTGAATGGAACTTTCACCCTACTTTTGGTATTAAAGTTGCCTTTATTCTCAGCTTCAAAATTAAAGGTGCAGAGCATTTATCTAGTGCTATTTGCACTTTAGTCCAGTAAGTAAATTCACTATGTGTTTTAGAGGTTAAGTATATATTGGAAATTAATAAAGTAGTCGGAATTATAGCCTGTTTGTTAGCAATAACATCTTTTCTTAAGGAACAGTATTAATAATAAATTATACCTTATTAAAGATTTCACAAAAATATGATTTCAGTCTAGATCACATTAAATAATGATAACAAACCCGTATCTTTTGAGGGTTCCCCCCCCCTTCATCCATCATGATTCTTCTATGACTGGTATAGGCAGAAAATACTACTTCAGTGATCTTTCTGAGTATATCTGCTCATAAAAAGTTGGATTTTATAGAATCATTTAGGTTGGAAAAGGCCTTTAAGATCATCAAGTTCAGCTGTTAACCTAGCACTGCCAAGCCCACCACTAAGCCATGTCCCTAAGCACCACATGTACAGGCTTTTTAAATACCTCCAGGGATGGTGAGTCAGCCACGCCCGTGGGCAGCCTGGTCCAATGTGTGACAACCCTTTCAGTGAAGACGTTTTTCCTAATACCCTGTCTAAACCTCCCCAGCGCAACTTGAGGCCGTTTCGTCTTTTCTGTCAGTTGCAACTTGGGAGAAGAGACCGACACCCACCTCGTTGCACCCTCCTTTCAGGTAGTTGTAGAGTGCATTAAGGTCTCCCCTGAGCCTCCTTTTCTTCAGGCTAAACAACCCCAGTTCCCTCAGCCACTCCTCACAGGACTTGTGCTCTAGACCCTTCACCAGCTTATATAAGAACAGTTCTGTACAACAGAAATCTCCAAATTAGTATTGCTACTAGCATCTGATACATGTGTTGAGTGGGAGACAAGTAAGGTTAGAAGCACAGCTAGAAAGACAAGTCATGCTTAAAGCTCTGTTTTGTCCATTGACACAAGGCAACATAATCATAGAATCATATTACTTATTAATTAGTGGACTATGCTAGTATTCTACACAGGATGTTTAGGTAATGATAGTGGCAGTATAACTGTCTACTTGGTGTTTTAAAGCAGCGCCTTAAAAACAAGATGAATTTCTGTTTAGATACAATTGTGGGGTGAAAATAAAATGAACTTACAGTGGTGGTTGCCACTGTGTTTTGTCTCTGAAAACATAAAATTATTTTTCTTCAGGCTCTGAATGGCCATAGTCTCTACACTGCATGCTGCACTCTGCGTGTTGATTTCTCTAATCTACCAAACCTTAAGGTAAAGTACAACAATGACAAAAGCAGAGACTTCACTCGCCTTGACGTGCCAGTTTTTGGCCAGATGCCCCTGGAGACAGGTGCTGCCTTTGGTAAGAAACCTTCACTTATAGTGATAAATACACAGTAAGATAATTTTGTTTTTTCTGTTATATTGATGTCCTAGCTTCATAGAGGGTTTATAGAAGGGTACATTTTGCATACATTTCTGTTTGTTAGGTCTAGTAATGTTTGTATGGAAAGCAGAAAGTCTTACTCAAGATAAATTACTCTGTGAAACTATAACATGAGGAATGCTTTTGGTCAAATTCAAAGTGTTGTCAAAAAGCTACATTTGTAAAATGCAGTGAAATGGTATCATTGGTACAGGTAGTATAATAAATGTTGCATACCAGAACAGTCATCTGAAACTGACACTGGCTGCCTAAAGCTGCTTGAAAAATAAGTGTTTTAAGGACATTAGCTCTTATTTGAGTTGATATTTTAGGATAACTGCCTACTGTAACAAACAAAATCATAAGAAACTTAAAAGGCCTACACTTACTGTTGTATGTTTTGTAGTCACCTTCTAAAATATAAAATTTTAAAAGTTTTCTTGAATTTTAGAAGTCATTTCCATGGCATAGAGGAGATAATGTCGGCTTGAAGCCATACTGGAGAAGCCTCTATGGCATAAATAGCTAAGGCGTGCTCATTTAATAAACTTTGGTATCTGACTGGCAGAAGTGCTCACAATGCAATCTGAGCCATTTTTACCTACTTTTCTTTCTCTCAAATGACAACCATTAGTTCTTAGCCGAGTATTATTGCTGTCTCAGATACCTATTCAACAACTAAGTGCCTTCCAATTGGTTATAACAGTAGCAAGGTTTGGGGAAGAATTCCCTTTTTTCCTTTAGTTTTCTGTGATAGCTAGGGCAGATCACAGAATCACTACGGTTGGAAAGGACCTTCACATCAAGTTCAACCATCAATCCAGAGCCACCATGTTCCCTAAACCACGTCTTGAAGCGCCACATCCACACGTTTTTTGAACACTTCCAGAGATGGCAACTCCACCACCTCCCTGGGCAGCCTGGTCCAATGACTGACCACTCTCTTGGTGAAGAAATTTTTCCTCATATCCAGTCTAAACCTTCCCTGGCACAACTTGAGGCCATTTCCTCCTGTCCTATCACTGGTTACTTGGGAGAAGAGACCAGCGCCCTCGTCACCACAACCTCCTTTCGGGTAGTTGCAGAGAGCGATAAGGTCTCCTCTCAGCCTCCTCTTCTCCAGACTAAACAACCCCAGTTCCCTCAGCCACTCCTCATAAGACTAGGTTTGGTTTGTGTTTTTGGCTAGTCGGCTTTTGTAGCTTAGATTAAAGTGAATTGTATTCACTACTTTCTTGATTGTTTTTGCTGGTCCCCTGAAAGGCAGGCCTTGGATCTTTATGTAATGTACAACCATCTTTATAATTTTTTTGAGGATTTTCCATACAGCAGCATGGAAACATGTTATAGATTTGATATGTTCTGTTTAATTAGACTTACACAATTTGAAATGTCAATGAAAGGGGAAAGTACAATCAGAGCAGCTTAAGGATAAACTTGCTTGTAGGGCAGAGATAACATTGTACACATGCTTTTGGAGGATAACATATGAACACTTTTCCATTTCCTTTCCCCTAACTCTTCCAAGGTCGTCATTGCCAGTAATCTTGTTTTCAGCCTGAACATTTACTGTAATACTAAGAACAGCAGAAGTCCTGATGTAAAGAAGCCTGATGTCTGTATCAAAATTCGTTGTAGTGCAGTCACAGTGAAGCAGCTGCATAGATACTTTTCTTTTAAAAAGAAAGAAGCATGCTTCTAGCCTTTTTGTCAGTGATAACATGCATATGTTGCTGTAGGCATATTCTGATAGTCCTCAGTTGCATGACATGAGGAAAAGACTTTGGGAGTCATGTCAGCACTTAGACATCCTATGCTACTACTAGTCTGTGTACTTTTGATGGAGAATTATAAGATAAAGGAGGTAACTATTGGAATAATATACCTGTTTTTTTCTGTAGAATTCATGTTATCTGAATATCAAAACTGAACTGCTCTTGAAACTTGTGTTTTTCTTTTTTTTTTTTGTTTCTTTTGTTTTGGTTTTTTCATGGAAAAGATACTGTGTTGCAAAACAAGCAGATTCTGTGAAAGTTTTGCCTTTGAAGAGTTCCCGCACCCTGTGAGCATAAGCAGAGATACATGAATTAGCTTCCTTTTGAAAGATAGCTGCTAGCCATGAAGCAAATGATTTTACACATAAAAAAATGCAACAAAGAATTCCAGATCTTTCTCCATTAGCTCTGTTTGACAATTTTTACATGCCTGATGTTAGTATCAGCGTGCAACATGCAGGTCTTATTTGGCAGAACAGAAGCGCTTTACCTATTTCTTCATTAATGTTTCCATTACCATTCTTGGATTGTGAATAAGTGATTAATATCTATATTGCCAGAACTTGTCAGTATAATGCACCAGTGCATGTATTTCAAGAACACAATGACTTGCTTTGGTGTGATAAATGTATTCAGTTGTTTGCATAACAGACACTTTGTTGCTACAGATAAGGAGGTGTAATGTGATGAAGTATTCATGAGTACTTGTTTTGTGGTGTCTGTTTCGTTTCATTTCATTCATTGTTGTTGTAATTCAAACAGATACTACTTATGGTATGGCACCATCCCTGTCAATAACTGTCTGTTATTGAACGTAGCTCTTTTAGTCAATGGTGGAGGTTTGAGTAGTAAAACAGACATATTGCCAAGCTTGCAGGATGTATTTGCTGATTATACATGCCTCATTCAAAAAAAACAAACCCTAGTGTGCTAACATATGAAAGAATCCACAACTCTGGCTTGTGTCTAACTGCTTCTTAGAACAGAAGTTTGTGTGCTGCCCCAGGTACTGCTTAACTCCACATACTAATGTGAAAATCACTGACCTATCTTCTAGGCTAGGGCTCTCCATGTGTTGGTATTCCAAATCTGTTTAATGCTTGTGATGGCCTGGGGAACCATAAAAAACATTATTTATGAAGTAACACAATCTGTGAAAGTACATCTCTTTAAAAAGAAAGATCTGTATACTTTATGCATCTCAATAGCTAGTAAAATTCAGAACCTCAGATTCATTGTAGTTATTTGTATTATTTAGCTTATACTGGTTTTAGAAATATCTAGGAAGTAGTTGTATCTCATCATTGCAAAGTGTCCTTGAGTGCATTTACTTCCAGAAAATTTCTAGACTGCATTTCCATTGTCTGAATAAAAACTATTGAACATAGCACCACAGGCATCTTAACTTTAACAGATACTAATCTATGCTGTGCTTTCCTATTCAAACCTATCTAAATTACATTTTGTCCTGACTTTGTCTTAGGAAGGGACATTGAGGCTGATTGGAATATTTGCCTTCAAAAGTGGCTGAAAATTGACTTTGTAAAACATAGAATCTTGTATTTGAATGAGAGTTTTTAACCAGATATTTTACAAAAGATGTAATCATGGACCAAAGTCAGAATAGCAACACTGGAAGCTGGTTTTCATTGCTGAAGTCTTTTTTGTTTTCTAAAAATTTTAAAGTGTATTTTAATTAAATGTGTCTGCTCTCTCTAGGCACCGAAAATACCATGTTCCCATCACATGCAGGGGCTGCTGCATTTACCCCAGCCATGGGGTCTGCTCAGGGTGCTGGTAAATATAAATATCTATTTTCTATAAAAGTAGAGTTTGCATTTGGGGCTAGTGGTCTATCTGAACACACCTGTGTTCAAAGCAAATTGTTTTCAAGTATAGCAGTCAGAACACAATGTTCATTTGAGTAATCCTGATTTTCTTTATCATATTATTCAGTAAAATTATTTTCTGTAATAAAAAATATATGCTGATGTAGTTTATTGTTTAATAAGTAAAGAATTGAAAGCCATGATAAAGTTTACCTGCAAAAGAAAATAAGCATCTGTTTTTTTTCTAATAAGACTTCAGTGACGTTCGAAGCTAAAGCAGGAAGTCTCCCCTATTCTGGCTATAGAAGGAGAAATAAATAGTCTTCTAGACTCAGTGATCCTTTCCTTTCTAGCACAGGAAAAACTTTTATGCTAAATAATTTTTCTCCTTTCTTGGGCTGCAATTTATGTCTTCTTTTGTTTGGGTCTGCTGATGGAGCTGAATATTTCTTCATCTCTGGAGGGGAGGTGCTTCCTGCTTTATTGTTCGGGTACTAGGAATAGCTAAAGTCCTTAGAAGCATTTTTTTAATTGAATATTGATGATTTTGCCAAATATGACCTGCTTTTGTCTTCTGAAATGTCTTTTTCCACTTTGAGATGTCAAGTGATGCTATTAATACCCTTCCAGGTCTTTCGGTTCCAGTTCTTCCTGCAGTAGTTGGTTCTTTCCCAGCCACCACATCTGCAGCATCTGGACAGATGGCTATCTCTAACTTTAATGGTATTCCAGGAAATTCTGTTTTACTAGTCAGCAACCTCAGTACTGAAGTAAGTTTGATTGGTGGAACTGATGCAAGTATCAACTTGTACCAGCTGCCAGAATCCTTCCTGCAAATTGACATTAGCTGAAGGAATGAGAGAGGAAATCTCTGTGCTGATAGTATAAAAACCAGGACAGCTCTATTCTTGTTTGAGATAGTTTGCAATATTGATGAGGTTTAAAAACTCCAGTCAGCAGTGAAAAGCTTCCTAACACACTTTACTGTAGGAAACTGATGTTAGCAGTGTAGCTAGTAATTAGAGAAAAGTCTATGGTCAGACATGAGAAATGTTTGAAGAGGTAAACAACATATACCATGACTAAACATACTGGTGTTTCTGTTAATGACTCCTTTGTGTGCTACTTCATCATTAGAGAAGCCAAAGAATTTTTCATTTGTTACAAAAGATGGAGTTAGAGAAACAGGAGGGAAGAGAAAGGGAGATTAAAAGCATGCCAAATCAAGTACCTTTTAAAACATTGATGGGATCTTTCTAGTTTTGCAACTTTTCCCAGATTGGAGAGGAAGAACACAGGTGCACTTTGCTATTGACATCACTGTAAATCCATTTTTAAAAGTTAATAAACGCATGTGTTCATTTTTCACAGTACCACACAATTTTTTTTCATTTGTTGGCAGTGAAATTGGCAAAGACAACTTGGATAGTTATTTTTATAGTGGAAATGATATAGACTATTCTATAAGCTTACTCCTGTTACTCAAATATTACACATTGATCTGTGCTTAATTAAAAGCAATGTACAGCTCTTAAATATAAAAATCAGGCTTTACCAAGGCCATGACTTAAAACACAGTTCTACTTGACTGTTCATCAGCAGTTCTACTGCAGCAGTGTAAATTCTTGCTTGTTTTACACACTGATTAGATCCACTTAACCATAAAACTGATAAAATTAGGAATTATTGGCAAAATGGAAATTACATTATTGAGGTTTAAAAATCTGTTGACCAGTTCCTTTAATCTTTAAGTAATTGCTGTGTTTCTGGTTTTGTACTGATAGCTGAATTCCACTGTAAGCATCACAAGAAACAGCTGCAAATTAGGACTGTAAGACAAGTCAATTTTTTGTTGATTTGTCAATATATCTTATTGGTTCATTTCTGATGATTTCTGTGGATGTGCTTTCTGCAGCTGATTATTCCAGATGATTCTTTCAGTCTTAAAAGAATGTGTTTTTTAAGAATAAGCATATGTGAAGCATAGGTCAAAGCTTTTTTTAGGACGTTGCTTCTTTACTTAATACGAATCATATCTAAGAAATTGTCCTGTAGAACTTTGTGCTGCAATGCAGCTGTTCTCAGCTTCTAATTGAACACAATTTAAATACCACTTTCTATAGGCTTCATATATAAACAGTTAAATAGTATGTGTATCACTTTAGCATGTCATGGTCACGTGCAGAGATGGGGACAAAACTGCAAGGCAAACACATTTTGAAGCAACTGGTTTTACTTTTATAGGTGTTGTCTGCTGTTTATAAAATACAAAGGAGTTCTCGAATGTTCTTTTTCTATTTCTGGTTTAGCAGATGTCTTTAATCTTTCAGGGAATGAACTGCTAACTTGGAAAGAAAAAGTTCAAATAGTTAAGCCACTTAAAACATTATTAACTTCTTCAGCATGACAGACAAGTCTTGAGTGATGAAAATGCATGAGCTGAATTGTTAGCTTGTTGAAATATTTTATATGTGCATAGCAAATATATATTAACAGGAATGCTATACACTGTAGTTGCAGGGAACGGCTTTTGGAGACACAGGTTAATATATTAGTGCACAGCGTATCTCTTCCATTCTTTTTTTTTACCATACACTTATGGAATAGGTTTCTTTATTTGCATGGCTTTAAAAATAATATACTCATTTTATCATTTAAACAGGACATCACAGCACATCGACTTTTCATCCTATTTGGTAAGATATGTTGAATATACCTTGAGAAACTACAGGACTAACATTCTCTTCATTTATCTATCACATGCTGGTTAATGCAAGCGCCATTGTTCTGTCCTTGTCCAGAAAACTCACAAGAGAATGTGTTGTTTTTAAAATTATTATAATTTGAGTAAGTAGTTGTAGGCCACAGGTACCAAAAAGGCAAAATGGTTACAGTGTTACAAGAATTTCAGTCTGTGGTCCAATTTCTTTACTACAAAGAATGGGAAAGCAAAGTAAGATGAAAAAATAAAGATTGCATCAAAGGAAATAGAGTACAGAGTTGGCATGTACATTAGTTGCAGAGGGCAATGTTTGTTGGCATAGTAATGTTTTAATATGCCTCTTAAGAGGACTTCAACACTGTTGCACTATTTAAAAGCTGAACATAAATGTGCAGTTTTATGACTAAGATCCTGGGTTTTTCCCCCATTTCTGAGCCTCAGAAAATAATATACAAACTTTAAAGCTCTCCTTCATACTAATATTCTAACCAACCTGTTTAATGAGGTGATTATTCTTTGTAATGCTAATGTTAGTCAGAAGGTACAGACTTGCCATTGTGCTGCTTATAGTAATGGATGAATTTCCTTTCTGGATTTCCACAGGTGTGTATGGTGATGTGCATCGTGTGAAGATCATGTTTAATAAAAGAGGAAATGCTTTGGTTCAGATGGCAGATGCAAACCAGGCTCAATTAGGTACTGATTTTTAAGGAGTGGTTATGCTTCAAAATAGCATGAGTGTGATATAGATGAAGAATTTGCCCTCTGTCAGTGACAAGCATAAACAAATTAAATCCATCATTGTGATGCTTTATTACATATAAACTGTTCCTTGTATATGTTGATAATGATCTGGTTTGCTTTCATATAAATAATTTTCCAATAGTGGTTTGGAAAAAAAAAAATCCTGTGACTGTCAATCTAGTAAATGTTAGAATTAAAATATCATACAGTTTTCCTGTAGTTTGTCCTGTATATAGCTATTTAAGAATAATCAACCGCTCTTTACTGAAATGCTCTTTTGCATTTTTATTGCATTTAGACTAGAGGTTATATTACATCCTTATGCTGGTTTTAAATATTATGCTATGACATAGCCTACCTGGTAGACCCTGAAGTTGCAGTTTAAATTCTGAATGTGAAATCTGACACTAAATAGAAGACAATATTAGTATTTAGAGAATCCTTTTTTCTTCCCTTCCCTTCATTTCTGTTCAAACATGTTTCCACTGGTTAGCTATCGCCAACTTGAATGGACAGAGGCTTTATGGAAGGATCCTCCGTGTTACTTTTTCAAAATATCAGACAGTTCAACTTCCTCGTGTGGGACAAGAGGACCAAGATCTGACAAAGGATTACAGCAATAGTCCTTTACATCGCTTCAAGAAGCCTGGCTCTAAGAACTCCCAAAATGTCTTTCCTCCATCTGCCACCCTGCATCTCTCCAACATCCCGTGAGTATCTACATGTGTGATACCTTGGAAAGATGGTTTTTTAGATTATGTTCTTAGGTTGCAAAGTCTGATATAAGCTTTACATTTCCTTGACCTTTCACAGTTTCTTGAGAATTTGGCTCATTCTGCTGTGTAAGTAACAAGAAGTGAATCCTTTAACTGTCACTTTTTTATTGCTAGCAAAGAAGATACCTGATTGAATGCTCTTCTTTATTAATTTTAATACAGTTTTCATTTTCTTGAGAATATGCTTTTGTTCACATATTAAGTCCTGTGTTATAAATTCTTGCAAAGATTAGACATGTTTTTTGAGATAATGTACTGGAGTTACATTACATCAAATTCATCATTGGCATTGTTATTTACTGTAGATATAGTTTTTAATCATTCTAACAGTTTTTAATGAATACTTTCTACAGAATTCGGACTCGTTACATAGAGGGGAAGTTGATTTTTTTTTTAAAATGTATTAAGAAGCATGTTCTTTTAAAGCTGAAACACTTTTTTTCCTAGCTAGAATGTTGTCAACAATGTGTAGTGGCAGCCAAACAGAAATTTTTACAGGCTGCTTTTGTTCAGCAGCTGTGCAGGGAGGAAAAAAAGAAAACTGTGGATTTTTTTTTTTATGTGAATAAGAAAAGACACTTAGAAAATGGCTTTTTGAGTAAAACAGAAATCTTTCAAAATTGAAAATATATGAAGCACATTCACAGTAATTACAAGATGAAAGGTATTTCTGAACGTACTGGTTAAGATCTTAAGTGATTTTTATGCAGTCTGAATTTGAGGGAGGAATGGGGCAGGATGAAAAGCAGTAGAGTATATTTGAAGTATTGTCACATACTGTGGTGCTAAGTCTTAGGGTCAGAGCCAAGATGTTTGGACTAAAGTGTTGACACGGCTTGAGTTGGTGGAGGGAGTTTTTGCTGTTCAAATTTAATTTAGAAGCCAGAACTGAGATTTTGATACTATTACTATTACAGAGAACTCTGTGCTCTTTTACAAGTTGAGGGGCTTTTGTTTTGGTTTTGTTTACTTTTTTTTTTTTTAAATAGGCCTTCTGTTAGTGCTGATGATCTGAAGAAGCTTTTTGCAAGTACGGGATCTACTGTGAAAAGCTTCAGATTCTTCCAGTAAGTTTTCTTGTAAAAATGCTGAGCAATCAGCTTTCATTCTGAAGATAGCTAATTGCTTTTTTGGGAAATTCCCTGTGCATATATCTATAAGCAAAAGCTGTACACCTATGACAATTTTTATGATAATTCTAATCTTAAAATTTTAAATGGGGTACTACGTTAGCATGCCTAAATGAAAAATATTCGGCCTTTTGACAAATTCCACGTTTTCAAAGAAGATAAATTTAGAGATAGTAAATACTTGCTTATTTAAAAAGAAATACAGGCTGTGTATATGTAAAATGTCATGTAAAAGATGACAATGAATCTGCTCTAAAATTCATTAAGATTGCTTGGCAGCATTATTTTAACATGATCATACC